GGATGGATGGATGGATGGTGGTTGGAAGGATGATGGATGGACAGATAGGTGGGTGGATGGGTGGGTGGATGGATGGGTTGGTGAGTGGATGGGTGATAAATGGATGGGTGGGTGGATGGGTGGGTGGATGGATGGATGGATGGATGGGTGATGGATGGATGGTGGATGGATGGATAATGGATGGATGGGTGATGGATGGATGGTGGATGGATGGATGGTGGGTGGATGGATGGATGGTGGGTGGATGGATGGTGGGTGGATGGATGGATGGTGGGTGGATGGATGGTGGGTGGAAGGAAGATGGATGGGCAGATGGGTAAGTGGATGAGTGGGTGGATAGATTTGTGGGTGGATGAGTGGATGGGTGATGGATGAATGGTGGATGGATGGATAATGGATGGGTGGGTGGATGGATGGTGGGTGGATGGATGATGGATAGATGGATGGATGGACAGATGGCTAAGTGGATGGATGGGTGGATGGATGGGTGGGTGGATGGGTAGATGGGTGGATGGGTGATGGATTGGATTGGATGAAGGGAGGAGGGAGGAAAAGAAAGGATTGGCCAAGCTAGCGGCATAGCTTTCTTGACAGAGCCAGCACTAGACCTGGCCAAGATCCTTCAGACACTGTGGCAGAGGGTAGGGACTTTGGAGACCAGGTGGCTTTGTGGCTCTTTATAGCCTTCAAGCTGGGCAGTCACCTTCCCCGTCCTGGACTCAGTGGTTTCCCTTCTGCCCGCCACACAGCCTCCTCTCCTCCCCATCTCAGGTCACACAGCGATACCACTTTTCCTAGGGCTTCTCCAGGAAGACACCTGCCAGACCAGTTCAGAGGCTGCCATCTGGCCCAGGTCTGGGGACACTGTGGTTGAGTCATTGTGAGGCCCTGCTGGGGAAGGAGAGTGACAAGTCTGCACGGTGACTTTCTTATCTGCACGGAGAAGGCAGCCTGGTGACTTGGGGAGCCCCTCCTGCCCACCCAAGAACCACTAGGCTGCCACTTGATGACCCAGCCCAGAATGCAGGCCTCGGCCACCCTCCCCACAGGTGGGCACGCCAGGGAGAGGAGTTAGCCATCTGAGACGTGTGTGTGTACGTGTGCGCCTGTATTGAAGAAGGTGGAGTGTGTTTGCACAGGTATTTGTGCATGACATCGCATATTTCAGTGGAAGCCAGGGATCAGCAAGGGGCCTTCCAGGTCCTGAAGCTTGGTCTCTTTCACCCTACTGCCCTGGAAGTCCTGGCTTCTAGACTTTTGCAAAACCCTCTAGGATCTGGTAGTTGCTGGACATAACCTTGACCCAGATGTGAAGCTCAAGCCCAGCCTGGTTCATTACATCCACCTTCCCTGTGGGCAACCAAGAAGAAGACAAAATTCTGCTGCAGAGTCTGGAGGAAGGAGAGAGAAGGAAATAGGATGCAAACAGCTTTGAATGTTTATATCAAATAGATGATGTTAGTCACCCCTGCCCTGGCCTGGAGTTTCTCTCTGGTTCCATTTGCTTCCCAGCCATTTGTATGCCCTGCCCACTGTACCCTGCTCCCACTCCATAGCTGCCCCACCCCATTTCCCTTGCTCTGGGGACTCCAAATACCTCTTCCTTTTCTCAGTCTCATTCTGTCAAGCAAAGGGGAACATCTCTTCAGCAGGGCCCTCCTTCTTAGAAGGTAGCTGTATTTACTGTACTCACACATTTTAAAATGTGTGTTATCTGTTACATGTGCCTGGTTGTACATTTTTCATCATGTGCCATTGTGTATGGAATATATGTATAACAGGAATGTGCCACCATGCTGATATACACACGCCTATAATCCCAGCACTCAGGAGGCTGAGGCAGGAGAATCACTATGAATTCAAGCACAGCCTAAACTACATATTGAGATCTGTTTCAAAAACAAACCATATATGTGTTTGTTGTCATGTGTGCACACGTGTGACAGGGTGAGCACATTCAGCTGTGGGTGGGCAGAGGTCCAGGTGTGTCTCCAAGGCTGGGAAATCCCTGAATATGAAACAGCCCTGGGAAGTACACACTGTCACTGTCCCTATCCATGGGAAATGAAGCTCAGCAGAGTTGGGAGGAGGAGGGGGCTGAGCCCAAGGCCCAGGAGGCCAGTGTGTGGGGTGTGGCTTCCGGCTTGGGTGGTATGGCCAAGACAGGCTGGCATGGGATGGGAAGCAGACAACCCTGCTGACCAGGGACCTCTGTGGACTCAGGACAGCAACATGGTGTGGCGAAGTGCGAGATTATGTGTGACAAGATGACCACACGGATTCCCAATAGCTATCTCCTGCGCTATCATGAAAACCGGGCCTCCTGCGGCAAGCCTGCCATCATGTAAGTGCTGCCCTTGTGGCCCCTCTAGTCCCCGTTGGGCCCTCAGGACAGTCCCAGGCCTCCACCAATCCATGTCCACTCCCGCCCGCCTCACCCTGGGCTCCCAGCCAAAGGCCTTGGCAAATGTCCCTTTCCTCCGACCCGCAGGCCACATTGCTGACCTTACTGCTGGTGTCGGGTGTAAAGATGGGGAATTGCTTCCCATGTGGGCCAGTGTGGTTGGGCACAGCTGCCCTCACTTATGACCTGGGGCAGCCACCACAGGAGCTAATTCTCCCTGCCCTGTCGAGTGCTGTAGGGGCCCTCAAGCCACTGGACCTCACAGGGAGGTGGCGTGTGGTGGTCTCACAGTGCACAGTCCAGGCTCTGTCACATGGGGGCAGGTGCTGGCCAGGTAGCCTTGCTCGCACTGCTTACCCTTCACACCTTGGTTTCCTTATCTGTGAAACGGGTGGCCAGAAGGGTGAATGGAGATGGGATTACCGAGGTTGGCTGCAGAGATCCTTATCTCCATTGGACAGCAGAGGAAGCAGGCCCTGTGAGACTGGAGGGCTGAGCTGAGCTGTTTCCTCTCTGGCCATTGGAGACACTTGGCCATCCTGGTCACCTGCTCCTCCCAGGGCTCCTGGTGGCAACTTCACAATCACCTGAGCCCTCGAGCAGCTTCAGCCTGGCCCCAGGCCTGGCAGCAGAAAGTGGCCCTTGGCCAGTGGCATACTCTGCTAACAGAAGGCCTAGGCTTCCTCTCCTCAGCTCTTCAGTGTCTCCCAGGGCTGCTCTTGCTGACCTTTCTGCTCACCAGTCCAGTGTCATTTCCACCACACACTCCCAAGCATTTGCTTCTATTTTCTAGGTGAAAGGGAAGTAGGAAAGCACTTCAGGGGGCCTGCAGTGTCACCTTGCTTTCCAGAACTTCTCTGGTTTTCCAGCATTCCTGAGTCAGGCACACTGACTTTATCTCTTTGAGCCTTGGTTTCCTCATCCGTAAAATGGGGATGAGCATGGTAGCCATGCTGCAGTTTGGGTGTGATGTGAACAGTGTATGACATGGAGTCCCGGCAACTCCACAGTCTGTCTCAGGGATGAACCAGCCACACACAGCTTCAGAGGAAGCCAAGATACCAACGGTGCTGAGGGTCCCAGTGGAGATGCTATATATATGGCTTTAGCTCCCTGGGAGTCCCTTCAGGCTAAGGGGCTCCCTTTAGAGAACGGGAGGGGTCTAGAAGGCAACCATGACCATGAAACGGAGGGAGAAGAGAAACAGGACTTTGTGACATGAGGTCTTTTCCAGAGTGAGGATATCCTAGCAGGGAGCTCACCTGTCATACACCTGAGATCAGAGAATAACGGGTGACCCTTTGCAATCAGACGAAGCACAACCCAGACCCCCTGCCTTGAGGGTGCAATGTGATTACTAACATTGTTATTTTCAGCTTTTCCCACGGCACTGGCATCTCTGGACTGATTGCTCTCTTTACATAACTTACTTCTTTTTCAAAAAATCACATGGAAGTGGGATGACCAACCTGGCCCCGTCCGCCTGGGACTTTTCTGATTTTGAAAGGAAAAGTCCCTCGTCCTGAGGTGCCCTGTCCCAGTTTTGCTGGGATGGTTGGTCGGTCCCCTCCACATGGCAGGCATTCCTACATGAGCCCCAGGAGGTGGCGTGGCCCTGGGTCTCAGGCTCGGGGGTGGGCAGTAGGATGTCCTGCGCACCTTTAGGCATGTGTGCTCTGCCCCATACCACGCCAGCCTGGCTTTCTGCTATCTGGTCATTACTAGGCCTCTGTCTTCCTCCCTTATAGCCTGGTGACCAGGAGGGGCAAATTATTCTGTGCTGACCCAAAGGAGCAATGGGTCCAACTTGCAATTCAGTACTTAAACAACCAAACTCATGCTCCGACAACTCAGAGTGGCGGCAAGTTTGAGAAGCACGTGGGGAAGCCCGCGACCACCCCGGCTGCCCTGGGAATGTCCCAGCCCGCGCTCACAGAGCCTGAAGCCACAGGGGAAAGCAGTAGTCTGGAGCCCACTGCTTCTTCCCACGGGACTCAGAGGCCCACAGGGACGTCTCCAGAGCTACCAGTGAGAGTGACTGGATCTTTGGGGACCGCAATGTCCCCTACTTCAAAGGCTCAGGATGGAGAGCCTCCTGCTGGTGCACAGCTTTCCAGCACAGCTGCTACCTCCACCACCATTGCTTGGCAGAGGTCTGCTCCCTTCCAGCCTGGCTCCAGTCCCGGGGCTCAGGAAAAGGCCCCCTCTACCCTGGCCCCCTCCACCCCGGCCGCCCCCACTGAGCCCTCCTCCACCCAGACCCCCACCACTTCACACACAACCACTGAAGGCCAACCTGTGTGGACTCAGGGACAGACCCCTGGTCCAGAGAGCTCTGTAGGGCCCGAAGAGGTGGGTCCTGATTTCACACACCCAGATGCTTCCCAGGACTGGGGCCCCAGCAGCATGGGCCATGCTTCTGTGGTCCCCATCTCCTCTGAAGGAACTCCCAGCCAGGAGCCCATTGTCTTAGGCAGCTTGATCCCCAAGGCTGAGGAGGCCAACCACGCCACGGTGGACCCCCAGAGGCAGGTCCTTATCACCGCTGTTCCTGACACCCAAGCAGCCACCCGGAGGCAGGCAGTGGGGCTGCTGGCCTTCCTTGGTCTCCTCTTCTGCCTGGGGGTGTCCATGTTTGCCTACCAGAGCCTCCAGGGCTGCCCCCGCAAGATGGCTGGAGAGATGGTGGAGGGCCTTCGCTATGTCCCCCGGAGCTGCGGCAGTAACTCCTATGTCCTGGTGCCAGTGTGAGCTGCCCACTTGCTTGTGTCCAATTTTAATTCAGACAGCTGCCTGGGGACCCCCATCCTCATACCCACCCTCACCAAGGGGCCTGGCTGAGCTGGGGGAATGGGAATGGGGAGGCGGGATCCTCCAGGTGCAAATGGCTCCAAGGCCCCAGGTTAGCCTAGTGGGTCACCCTTGACCATTCTCAACCTATCAGGGCCGGAGAGGGGTGGCCTCCAACTCCAAACCTGAGAACTCCTCTCTGCGTCTGGCTGGTTAGAGGTTCCCTTTGACACCGTCCCATCCCCTGTGCACAATTATTTATTGAATGTCCAGCCCCCACGTCCCTGGCCTGAGCTTCCCTGTGAGCACCGTGGCCCTCCCATTCCACAAATGAGCAACAGGCCAGGCCTCTCTCACCTGCTCCCCAGACCGCCTCACATCCCTTGGTCCTGCTGCAGTCACTAGTCACCCGGCCAGCTGCGGTGCTATCTCCACATTTCCTCTGTATAGAGCCCCAGCCCCAACCCCACATTTTGTATCTTTTCTTGCATGAGGCTGGCGTGGCACTTCTAGGGTGCTCCTAGGGAAGACTGCATGGTGGGCAGGAAGATGAGGTCATCTGGTGGCTCTGAGGTCCTCCTCTGTCCTGGCTATACAGTGAAGGGACACTGAGGCAGCACCACCACCCACCTAACAAGGCTGGCAGACATGTGGCAATAACCTGCACCCCTGGGCCACTACTGGGACCCCCCCTCCCAGCTCCCCGACAGGGTCTTTGAGCCCTCATCAGCCAAGCACCTTAGACACTCACTGCCATCCCATCAGGCTGGCCCCTCTGTGGGCTTGGGGGACCTGCAGGAGCAGAAGCCAACTGTGAAGGCTCCTCCGTGTCTGGGCAGGCTCACCCCTCAACAGAGTGACAGCCCAGGTCTGCCCTGACAGAGACCACTGAGAGAGGGAGGAGGGCAGGGGGCCCCAGGAAGGCAAGGCAGCTCATGGAAGGAGCAGGGGAAAGCTATGGAGCCCCCACACTTTAGGGGCTCCCCTAGCAGTGGGTTTAGTGCGGCCCACACAGCCATGCTCTTTCCACCTACCTGGGCCCCCTTTCACCTCCATCCGCCCCTGACAGCACCATTCTCTGCGCTCCAAGACTTTGCCCTCTCCTTTGTCCCAGCAAAGGCAGGGCCAGCAATGTCTATGACATTCCCCGGAGTCCTGTGTGTATTTCTGGAACGGTCTCCATCCTGGGGGAGGGGGAATTGTGGGCATAAAATTCGGGGTTCCTTTTCTAGCTGCTGAAGATGTGGTCAGAAATGGAGGTGGCCAGCACCCCAAACCAGAGCTGGACCTGCAGACCTTGCCCCTCAGGATCCCTGGTGGCAGCTTACCGTTTCTTCTGATTGTCCCCAAGAGTGACCCTTGCCCTCTGTCTGCACCCAGGTGTCAGTGACACAATCCTCAGCAGATGGCTCCTCAAAAAGGGAAAACAGCTCTGGCCCTGAGAGAAGCCCTGCAGGAGAGCATGCTTCAGGGTCACTCTGAAGGCTCTGAGGGGAGGGAGGGCCCCAATGCACTTTGTTCTGGTTTGGGTTCTGCCAGGCCAGGAGAGCCTTCAAGGGTTGGTTCACCCTTCCTTTGTGAGGTCCCCCCCGAGACTTTGGCGGCTCCTCCCCAAAGGACATGGACAGTGACAATCTGGGGAGGATTTGGAAGGGGTTGGTTGATCCTTTGCTTTTTCAGCCCTCATCACCACTGTCTGTGCCATTTTGTATTTTACTAATAAAATGTAAAAGTCTTGTGAATTACATAATTGTGCTTTCTCTGGGGGCAGACCTTGGGGTGGAAGAGGGACAGAGACCCTGGCCCTCACCTGCCTGGAGCAGAAAGGCAGGAAGTTTTACAATCAGCAGGAGAAGGGATACTGTGGACGGGAGTCAGGAGGGCTGAGCCCCTGGCCTGGCTGTGCTCTGCTTGGCTGTGTGATGTTGAGCCCACGCATTTACCTTTCTGGGCCTGTGTCAGTGTGGGTGTGAGATTCTGGTGGGACTCAGAATCCCATGTGAAGCCCCACCCCATGCCCACTGAGCTCATATATCACTGTCAGAGATCTGGTGACTGACGGGACAAACTGGGCCACATTTTCACTGAACTCGACTCATTTTGGTTCAAATAGGGATCAAAATGGGATTACTTCTTAAGGGATCTGGGAGTTCACAGCCATGACCCAAATGGGAGACTCCCCACATCCCACAAGCCCTCCAGTGTCCTGGACCACCCCATTTAGCATAAGAGCAGCTATGTACAGTTGCCAAGGTTCAGAACAGCACCAGGTCACAGGTCAGGTTAGCCTACTGATTAATGATATATGCACGTTTTTCACGCTGTGACGTTTGAAATTGGGATCCACTTTGCAACCAATGGCTTGTCACAGTTTAATTGACGGGTTTTAATTAGTAGTTTACAAAGCATGAGGAAATCTCATCAGTAACATCTCAGATTGAATGTCCACATAAGTTTTTTGTTTGTTTGTTTAAGTAGAGGTAATATTCAAAAATAAGGAAATTGCACACATAAACTCAGTTTCCTATTTCTTCTCAGGAGAGGACTCAGGAGATCTGACCCCGCAGGCCCAGGTTCCCCTCAGGATGACAGTGGCTGGGCCCTGGGCAGCAGCTGTCCCTGCGCTGGGGTGGCCAGAGTACAATGCCCAGTTTCCTACCCCACCCATCCAAGTGTGCCTGGCCCTTCCCCCTCGATTCCCATTTGTTACTGTCTGTGTTGTTTTTTTCGCTGTGAGAATATTTTTCTTAGAGCTCAAATCTCTGTTAAAAGTGGGTCAAGGGCCCACGGATATAGCTCAGTGCCACAGCACCTGCCTGGCAAGTGCGAGGTCCTGAGTTCAATTCATGGTACTAAAAAAAAATGTAGGTTAAGGAAAGACAGGTCATGATGTGCACAGGACTTCTTCTCTCTTACTCTGCTGCCCTCCCTCATCTTACTGCCAGCAGATGGCCTCCAGGAGGTCCTCAAAGAAGAGACGAGGACTTCAACTCAGCCCACTCACAGGGTAGGTTGTAGGCTCACTGACCTATGTCACAGAAAAGGCCCTTGGGATGCGGCAGACAGCGGCATGGGAAGGATTAGGCAGGATTTAATGTCCACACTGAGAAGGGAGAGGCACACTGGGGCCTTGGGGATGTCTTCGGGTTGGGTGAGCCAGGATGTGTGTTTCTTATGACTGTCAGGTCGCACCCTTGGTGAGGCGGGTTAGAAGGCCAAACGTGTGCACGTATTTGAAATTTAGAGACTGGCTGCCCCTGAGCAGTGCTGCTTCCTTGAGGCAGGAAGAGCACTTCACAGGCGCAAGGCCCGGTCCCGGTACACAGGTCCCGTTACCTCCAAGACCATTAGGAGAGAATAATTTTTTTTTTAAAGTGAGTTTCTGGAAGGGAAAAAGGTATGGTAAACCTGGGTAACTTCTGTATGCTAAAGCTGCAGTTTTTCTTAAAAGTACAATTTGAAAATTATGATTTCCCTTTTCTCCTTTCTATCTCTATTTCTTCTACCCTCTCTCATCACCGCCTGTCGTGCCTCATAGAGATATAGGTCCATGGTTCCTGCAGAAATCTGCATTTGCTGCCCATGCGCAGGTGGCAGAACCAGATCTGCCTTCTGCAGTGAGGGGGGCTCTGTGTGCTCCCCACCCCAGTCTCAGTGTCCTCCCCCAGGAAGGAGCCCTGTGATGGCAGCCTGGTCCCAGCACCTTGCACACCACCCACCAGCTGCAGGAAGCACCAAGGGGCTTTTTGATGACGAAATCTGTCCCTTCATTCTGATCCCACTCTCAGGGAAGATGAAAGCCTCCACAACAGGAAGAGGAACAGAGTGGGAGACCTGTGCTCTGGCTCAGAGCTGCTCCCCAGGAACTGTGGAATATTTATGTGGTTTTATTTTCACTTTCACTTACAGACTTGGACTTAGCAGAAGCAATCCCTGAACGAATGCAGAGTTTGGAGGGGCCTTTTAACATATAATACTATCCTTGGAGATTTAAGGTGAAAGCCCGCTCTCCAGGGGTCCCAGTGGAGCAGGCTCGGCCACCCATGCCAGACAGTAATCAGGAGACAAGCAAGGGCAAGGCCATGCAAAAAGGACAGATGAAAAGATCAAGATCTGTCTTCGTGGGGTTGATGGGAGCTTTGGGGTTGGGGGCTGGTATAGCTGGCAGGATAGGTAACCCCAGTCAAGCCATGAGCTGGTCGGTGGCACCCTCAAGACTGCTTCTGCGAGGCTCCAGAAGCCCCAACCCCCTTGGGGGGTAGCTCTGTTCCCACCATGGGGTTGCTGCTCCTGTTTGGGGGTGGCCTCATCGTGGGGTGGTCTTTGGGGCTTTCCTTTTCTTGGAGTCTCAGGTGACTGAAGATTTAGGACAGTGACTGGGACTTCTAGGCATCACCCCAGGAGTTCTGGAACTAGATGCTGTGAAAGCTGGCAATTGGATTTCCCCGCAGATCCTGAGTTATTCTTAGCTTGGTTTCCTCAGCTTTGAAGGCGGATGAGGTAGGCAAAGTAATAACTTAAGGTTAATAAAACTTGTATAACCGGCTTTTAGACAGACATACTTTAAGTAATAACGTGACTACGTGCAGAGCTGAGCACAGTTCACACCCAAAGTTTAAGGTAATAAAAAAGACAGACATAAAATAAAGGCAGGGATACCAGGCTTTCTTCTGCTTTTAGTTACCCACCGAGCATCTGTAGGTCCAGCCTCGAGGCCCCTGTTACAATTTTGTCTACAATAATGGAAGCCATCATTTAGGTGTGTGCTCATACAAGGCAGTATGCTAATTTTTTTTGGAGGGGGTTGTGAAACGATCCTCATCTTTGTTAGATGAAAGAAAGGCTCTCAAAGGGTATAGCAGTTGCTCAGGGTCACACGGTTGTAAACAGCAGAGCTGGGCTGTGATTCTTAAACATACAGAGTCCAGAACCCCACTTCAGACCTACTGAATTTGGATTGGGAAGTAGGGGCCTGGGAATATGCACCTTCCAGCTGCAGCCCTTCTCTCTCCTGTCCTGGCTCCGCCTCACTCTGCCTACAAAGTGCCTGCCTCCCACCCTTGAGCTGTGAGAGTCCCTTGGGCAGCAGCTGCTCTCAGCCCTGTCCCCTTCTGCCCTTTGCTCTTATTTCCCTGTCTCTCCTCTGTACATTCCCTAACAGGGTGAGCCCAGGCAGAAGAACACAGACATGAATGGCTGGGAATTTCCAGCATCAGGCTGAGTAACAAGTGCTGAGGGGCTGTGTGTGTGTGTGTGTGTGTGTGTGTGTGTGTGTGTGTGTGCGTGTGTAGAGTATTGCATTGTGTATACACATGCCTGGCTGCTCTTGTGGGTGTGAAAGAGCTCAGGACACCACCAGTGCCCATTCACTTCTGCTCAGTCATGTGCTTTCCTGGGTAAATAGTGACTCAGCTGCCGGGGCTTAACACAGGTCTAGTGCCAGGCTGGCTTTCCTGAGCTGGCAGCAAAGTCCAGCAGCTGGAGCCCATAAGATTGCCCCCTCTTCTCACTAACTTGGGAGTGGCACCGCCTCTGGACTGAGGTGAATTCCAGATGCTTTGGAAATGATCCTTTCTTATCTTCCGGGGATCTTGCTATCTCCAGAGAACAGAATAGGATTTTTTGCAATAAGCAACTTGTTTTCTCACAGTATAGCAACAGAGCATAATAACTCTCTGGCTGCATAGTAATTTAAGCACTCTGGGCCTGGGTTGTTCCCTGTGTAAAACAGGAATAACTCATCTCATCTGTGAAGATGTCATGAGATAATCCCCACCAAATACTTAAGAAAAATGCCCAGTGCCCAAATGGACTCTCAGTAAACAAAATCTTTGATTATGCAATAGTTGCTTCAAAAGGGCTTGAAACTTTTTATTGCTGTTGGTTGTTTGTGTTTTAGTTTAGTTTTGTTTTGTTTTGTTTGTGTGTGTGTGTGTGTGTGTGTGTGTGTGTTTTAGTTTTTTGAAACAGGGTCTCACTATGTATCCCGGTAGTCCAGGCTGGCCCTGAACTCACAATCATCTGGTCTGAGACTCCCAAATGCCTGGATTTCAGGCATGTGCCGAAGTGCCTGGCTGTTATCGTATTCTGAGATGGGTTTTGCTGTGTTGCTCAGGCTGGCCTCAAACTTCTGGGCTCAGGTAATTCTCCTGGTAAGTACCTGAGGAACTGGAACTGTCCCGAGACTTAAAGCTGGGCCGCACTGCCTAGTGGGTAACTAAGAGCAAGACAGAGTTCGCTATCTCTACCTTCATTTTTGTATCTGTCTCCTTTATCATCTTAAAACTCTGGGTTATATCCCTGCTTAGCTCTGCACACAGGAATATTAATCGCTTGTGGAGTGTTTGTCTAAAAACTAGTACCGTAATACAAGATTTCATAGCACTAAACTAACCTAGCATATCCTGTCCCAGGTCAATAGTGAGGACACCAAGATAAGGGTAATTACAGCATTTTCAAGATTTGCAAGGGCAGTCAGGTGTATGGTGACACATGCCTGTAGGCTCAGCACTCCTGGAGGCTGAGGTAGGAAGAACCCAGGCAAGCTGGAGCCCAGCCTGGACAACTTACCAAGACCCCCTCTCAAAATTTAAAAAAAAAAGCTGGGGATACAGTGAAAAGTCCTGTGTTCAGTCCCCAGTTCTGGAAGAAAAAAAGAAAAGATTTGCATGGATACTCAATTGCCAGTTTATTCTTGGAACGGCACCTAGGAGTCTCCCGTCATTGTTCTAAATCTGCAGTCACC